CGAGAACGGCTCCATGACAAAGTACGTGACATGTTGGCAACAGCCAGGGTGACTGGCCATTTCAGCCGAGGGGCAGCATCGAAGCTGTACGGCTTGGCCAATTTCCTGGAACAGGGCATCTACGGTCGAGTGGGATATGGCGGCCTCATGGCCATCAAAGCCAGGCAAGACGAGACAACCTCGACCATCACTCCCGAGATTGAAGCATGCTTCGAGGTGATCGAAGCGGTTATGCGCTTTCAGCCAAAGCGGGAATTTCCCGTTCTGCACCTGGATCATCTGCGATTTTTGGCAGCCTCCGACGCAGCTGTCGAAGCAGACAATCCTGGTTCAGGAGGTTTTCACCTGATCTTTTTCCAGCCTGACGGATCACAAATTCGTCACAGTTTTGTCGCGACCAACTGTGCAGAGCTCCGAACACTTTGGCAACCTGCAGAGACGCATATCGCCCAACTGGAACTATCTATGGTGCTCTACGCCCTTGTCGAAAGGCCTGATCTGTTTCGAAACCGACACGGCCTATGGTTTTTGGACAACGTAGCAGCCGTCATGACGCTAGTGAGAGGACGTTCTAGCAATGCCGACTTAGCGAAGCTAGGTCATTTGATCCATCTAGCTCTGTTTGCACTGCGAGCCCAAGGATATTGGGAGTACGTCCAGAGCAAGAGCAACTGGGCTGACGATATCAGCCGACTTGGCGTCAATGATCCATGGTGGCGATGCCATGGTTTTGAATTTTATTCGTCGTACCTCCCTACAATCTTGTTCCAGCTACCCTTTGCAGCTGTCATTCTCACCTTCGAATACCTTTAGTGCTTTGGGAATTGAGTGCATTGGGTGATTCCTGCAGAGCAGGTTCCAGCCTGGGTTGCCAGGCAGCTGACCAGTGGCGAAACTGGTCTGGGGCTATGTACGTGTCACATCGTGACAACCAAAGCAAACCTGAGGATTGCAGGTGAAATTGACTGAGCATAGGCATAGCTGTGGAAAAAGAAAGCTGCGGGAGCGCGAGACAGTATCTGTTTCATATGACACTTTGAGATGTACCCATGCATTGAGTTTGGCAGGCTTGGGTGTGCATGTATCATCTTTAAGTGTTTCAATGAATGCTACCATTTTGGCTCAAGTAAACTTGAACCAAAATAGCATTCATTGCTGTTTTCTTTCCCCACCCTCCCAACCCTAAGAGCCGACCTCCCGTGGAGATGTCCGCCTAGGTTAGGGGAGCCTGCACGGCAGGCGAGTACATAGCCTCTATCGGGGATCCTCTCTTGGGGCGACCAAGAGAGACTTTCCCTCCCTTAGGTTAAGGGATGGGTGATTCCTGCAGAGCAGGTTCCAGCCTGGGTTGCCAGGCAGCTGACCAGTGGCGAAACTGGTCTGGGGCTATGTGCGTGTCACATCGTGACAACCCAAAGCAAACCTGAGGATTGCAGGTGAAATTGACTGAGCATAGGCATAGCTGTGGAAAAAGAAAGCTGCGGGAGCGCGAGACAGTATCTGTTTCATATGACACTTTGAGATGTATATATATATTATGTATGTATGTATATGTATATGTGTATATGTATACGTATATACGTATATGTATATGTATATATATAATATATATATATATATGTAAAACTGCGCATACTATGTATAATATCTCTGTCGCACGTGTGAAGCATGCATCTTTATGTATCTCTATGTATGAGTATGTGCATATGTGCATGCATATTCATAGAATGCATGTAAAACTACAAAAAACTTACAAGTATGTAAACGTGTGTGTTGACCTCCAACACCTGTGAGGCCATGCCTCCAACACCAGTGGAAGCCAAAAAAGCAGTGAGGCTGTGGATGGCCACTGTTCAGTGTGGCTTGCCAAAAGAGGAGTGGAACCGTACAAGCCGCCTTGCCTTCAATGTGTCACGGCATGAAATTTGTTGATTTGGCTTGAAGAGTTGATGTGATCAAGACAGACCTTCTCTGAGCGCATGGTTTTGTACAGCTTTGAATTCCCTTTTACCTGACAATGACGAGAATAGTGGTTCTCTCTCCTATTCCCTTGCTCCACATGTTATCTTCCAATTCTGCCAAGAGAGAATTTCTATGCCTTAATGTAGTCCCAGACATTTAGCATTTCCTTCATGCCAGGGTGGAATCAATGCTCATTGCAAGACAGGTATAGGGCTAGAAGATGCGGATCATGTGGCTAACAGCTTCTTTTAGCAATTTGATCGCAAAAAAATCGCCAAAAAGGAGCTGTCCAAGTTGAGGCTATTTTGCAGCCAAAGGAAGCTTCAACGCACAGTTTTGTTAAATCCTGCGTGAAAGCTTGCTTTACATGTATTTTAGCCTCATCCCTTATTTGCATTTGCCGTTGCAGCAATTTCTACAGCCGTTGCCATTGTTAGGTCCTGGCGGTCCAGCGGTCCTGAGTAGCCATGGCAAAAGCTGTGCCCGCAGTTCGGCTTCGTGGCAAGCAGCCATGCCCTCAAAGAGTGAAGAAGAATGGCCAAAAGTCAAAGGGCAAGCAGACCAAGCCAAAACGAGACACGATTCGATGTCAAGCGTTGAAAGATGGCTTGTTGCCACCTGCTAGAAGGCCTTTTGCGCTCTTTGTCAAGGACAACGTGCGTGGGCAGAAAGGAGGTGGGAGAAGCGAATGGCGGCTTGAGATGAAGCGCTTGGGGGCCATGTGGCACAAGTTACCCATTGACCAGAAGAAGCGCTACTTTGACCAATCCAATGCCAAGTTTGCCAAGCAGCATTTTGTGATGAAGCAGATGGGCATGCCACTGCGAAAGTCAAGCTCGCGAACAACTCACACGCTGGCAAAGGACGTGCTTCCAGAACCTGAAGATCCTGTCATGATCGGAGGCTACAAGGTGGTGAATGCGGATCCTGGCCTTCCTGATTGCCATCCCCTAGGTGAAGGCGCTTATGGCAGCGTTTTCCTTTGCTTAGACAAGCTTCAACGAAGATGTGCTGTGAAGGTCTTCAAGAAGAAGAGCGCACTCGAGGATCTCAACCATGAGCTCGTCCTTTTGCAAGCAGTGCAAGAACAAAGCGACCAGAAACTCCGAGGATTTTACCCCTGCATTTTGGAAGCACAGCCCTGTTTCAAGCCTTTTCCATTTTTGGCTCTTGAATATTGTGGCTCCAGCTTGTTTTCTTTGCTTGGGGAAAAAGGAGCTTTTAGCGTAGATGACAGTCGCGCCATCGCTTTGCAGCTGAAAGCTGCAGTGCGTGGCTTGCACTCATTGCAGATTTTGCATTTGGATTTAAAAACAAGCAATGTGCTTTGGTGCGTTGTCCGGCGTGAGCTCAAGTTGGCAGACTTTGGGATGTCTGAATATATCCCAGGGTATGGTCCTTCAATTCGTTTTCCCATGTATGTAACAGCAAGTTACCGAGCCCCAGAATTGTGGCACGCTGCTCAAAGGGACCTTTCCAAGTGGTTGGGGCCTGCAGTCGATTTATGGTCGTTTGGTTGTGTTCTCTATGAGGTTGCAGTTGGAAAGATCCTTATGCGCCCACTGCGCAACAACCTTTGTGGTTGTGAGAACACCATCAAGGAGTGGTGCCAGCAGTGGCAATCCTTGCAGAAATCATTGCAGGGATCAATAAGACCAAGTCTTTCAAATGCACAGGTCAGCCGAAATTTTGACTATCGGCTGGTGAATCGTTTGCACTTGCTGGAACCAAGCTTCAGGCCAGCAATCAAGGCTATGCTCAACCCGGATCCTGCTCAGCGAGATTGGGCAGGCATTGATTGAGCTAAATCTGTAGGGTTTCTAGGGGCATAGAGACCTGCTGTGCGGATGATGGGGTAACTCATCCTGGCGGTTCAGCGGTCCAGATTGCGAAACAGCGACTTCCATCAGCTTTCTGGAGAAACAAATGTGCTCAGGGAGTGCAAGTCATGAGCGCATCGATCTGGTATCCATGTCATTGTGTAGGAAGTTGAAACCAGCACCATTTTGCACTTCATATTTGCCACTTCCTGGCGGCTGAGGTCTTGGTGCAAACGGATGGCGCATGTGCAAGACAGAAAAAATGGCAGCGGCTTGAAATATACCCAAATCCCTTAATATTTTTCGGCACCGTTGAATTGCCATCCCAGATATTTTAAGGTGCAAAGATATACAGATACATACGCATTGATATATTATATAATGTATACATTGTATAGTTTATATAGATTATATATATATATCATATATATATATATCATATATATGATATATATATATCATATATATATATCATATATATCATATATCACATATATATACCATATACATATCATATATATATATATATCACATATATATATACCATATATATCATATATATATCACACACATATATATATATATAAATTATATCACACATATATATATATATTATATCATATATATATACCACATATATATATCACACATATATATATACTGTATGTATATATTATATATATATACATACATAGTATAGTCTATATATATATATATGTATATATAGTGGGAAAACAACTTTATACGTGTATAGTTTTTATTTTTACACACTATGTGCACTATGTATACTATAGTAGAATGTGATTTATTATAATACACTATACTATGATATAATATGACAAATATAGTACAATTCATTTTGATATTATACGATATGATATGATATAATATAGTATAATATAGTACAATACAATATATTTCAATATAATATAATAGAACAGAAATATAATACAATATATATAGTTTTATATATACACATGATTCATAATGATTCATAATCTAGGTGTACATTGTGCATCTCCTTTGGACATTGAAGACCGTGTGCCTCCAATTGATGCCAAACGATAACATGTGCTTGGCATGAGACGGAGAATGCATTGGTTTCATCAGTTCCATGCACACAAAAAAATCCACGAATCCTTCCTTGGAAAACAAACGATTCACACATTCAATGCTGAAACAGGCCAAGGTCTATCCCTGCCATGGCCCTTTGGGCAGGCCAGCAGCGGAGTCCTCTCCTCTGTGGTTGGTCTCATAGGTCGGATGGGAAGTTGGCCAAATTGTCCTCTGGCAACGGAAATTCCGGCGAGGAAAGAGGAGCGATACGGAAGACCACCACCAACAAGAAGAAGAAGAAGAAGAACAGCAGAAAGAAAAAGAAGAAACATAAGAAAATCAGGCTCAACAAAACCAAGACTGTAAAAATAATAAAAATCAAATAGAAAAAAAAACAACAGCAATCAGATTTGCTTCCTTGACCTGTCCACAGGCTTGGGCGTTTCATACCAGATGCAGACTGGCCTGCCTGTGCCTTGGCCACATACCGTTGCCGAAACGCGTTAAATGGCTGGCTTGTTGCCCCATAGCCTCTGGTAAACTCACATACTGTAACTAATTCTATGAAAATAACACGTAGTTTATGAGGTAAGTCATCTATAAATGGTCCATGTTCCATCGCTATGTTAGATTGCTGGAGGGTACAGTACAGTATCAACAGCATAGTTCAGTCTTTACTAGTTTTTCCTTAGAGCCCGCTGGATGATTGAAACAAAACAAAGAAGATCCAGCTGAATGAAATGGAAACATACTTTCTTTGCATTTTTGTGCACACAATTACGGGACACTAGTTGCATTTTATTGGTATGACAAAAAACCTGTATGCTGTGTGCTTCGATATTCCAGAAATAGTGTGCCAGTTTGTTGCATGTTTGGTTTGCTGGTTTGCTATAATATGAAGTCCCACTCTGCCCGCACACTTTGGGCTCAATGCTTCCAATGCTCTCGAGATAATTACCTAAGAATTAAAATACTCATAGACACAAACTCACATAAGATGCGAATATGTTGTGTCTGCAGAAATTAATATAAATTTATGTAATATGTGTAGAACACGTTTATATAATTATCATAAATTGGTTGGACTAGATAATTATAGATTTACCATAATTGTCAATATTATCATATTGGTTATCCTTGTAATCTTGTGTATATAATATGGTTTTATAATATCATGGAGGGCTGGACGGCTTCAGGATGTGGTTGCCTCGATCGTCATGGCATCCATTGTGCCTTGGATGATCTGTCTTCGCAGGTCCTATGGAGGATGTTTTTTTCAAGCCATGGTGACGACTGGGGATCCCCCATGACTTACCCTCTGGTAAACATACAAAAAACTATGGAAAATCACAATTTTTAATGGGAAAACTCACAAAAAATGGCAATTTTCAATAGCTATGTTAAATTACCGGAGGGTAAGAAACCCGCACATCAATGGCCATTCCAGGAACCCATTCATTGGAGGTACCGATTCCATATACTTTTGGCCTATTTTTTAGGGCTATTTTTGAGGGGATATACCACCAAAATATGGCCTTTTTTTTGGAATTCCCATTGACCACATGTATACCCTCTGGTAATTTAACATAGCTATTGAAACTGGCTCATTAACAGTTGATTTACCTATTCCAAATGATGATTTTCCATAGCAAACTGTTAGTTTACCCCAGGGTAAGTATCTTGTATGTCAAGAAGATATGTTCAAGGAGTTTGCGCACCATATGCCAGAATCCCACACCGGAGAGAAACTGAAAAGGATCACAGAAAATTAGCAGGTTGAAACAGGTGCAAGGCGCATTAGATCGTGCTGTCCAAGAGGTCCATAGGCCAAGTCTGCCTGATGCCCCAAGATTTCTGATCTGAGGTAAGTTGTGTCAGTGTTTTCTTGCTGGGGAAGAGTTTGCAGCTCAGTTGGAGTTTTTTTTTTTGAGAGATGGCAGACTTCCAAACCGCGCGGTGTTTTAAACACGTTGGGGCTTGGCCAGAGGTGGGAATGCCCTTCTTGGCCAAACCTTGCCGACTTGGCGTGTGAAGGACGGGCAAGTTGAGTTTTGTTCACGACTACTCTGGAAGATTTTGGTGCTGGATGGTGGGCGTCAGGTAATATGATGAGCAGCTCCTCGGTGATTTTCCAAGTTAGGGATTCCAGATGCTTTTCGATCTGAGTTTTGGGACAACAACGTATACACAACGTGATAGATTTGACCAAGAAAGCTGCGTGAGCAGAAACAAGGTTGGTTGCCACAGCAGCCTGCATTGGTTGATTGAATTCAATCCCGTTACCAGTGTAGTGGTTCTGATCCTCGATGCTTGGCTGTATCAGATCTGGTGAAATCAGCCACGCTGCCCCTAGTCCTTGATCGAAACCTTGGAAGCTCATGCTGCAGCGGGGGGCCCATTGCGGTTTTATCAGATTGGTCTTGAAATTAGTACCCTCCAACAATGAAACATGGCTGGGACACATCCTATAAATGGGCATTTTATCCTATAAACGGTCAAATTTTGGAAATTGATCTGCAAATGGGGATATACACGGATATACTGTGATATACCATGGGGTTCCTTAAATCCATGGCTTTCAATGTTCAATCCGGAAATGGACGTTTTTGGGGTACCACTATTTTAGGAATCCCCCACAAATGGCAATGTTCATGGGGAAAGCGACGATAAACCCGAAAAAAAAAGCAGCGAATACGATAATAGGATAATAGGATCTAGATTCTTGAGACAACCCGACAACCCCCAAATTTTTTGAAGTTGCCAGCCGTGATTCAGGGAAGCGTTGGCCACTTTTTGGAGATGGTCTATCCTTCAATCCACTGGTAAATTGGTGAATCATCATTTGTGTGCCATGAAAAACTGATTAAACGATACTATTCATCGGTATTCCATATTTTCAGACAAACCCTGCCGTTCTGAGTAAATGCAGCATATGTTGCATCTCTCAAGAATCCAGAAGATAAGAAGAAGTTCTTGCACCCATCAGATCCCTTTCAGATCCCTTTCTCTTCATGCCGTAGCATTTGGCCAGCGAGACAACGCGTAAGCTCCAAGAACTTGACGGCCCCATTGCCATGGCGACTTCGATGAAGAGAATCCCAACGGACCAACTCATTGAGGCGAACGGCAGGGTAAAGACATGGGGATTTCATGGGGATATCACGTGGGATATCCACCAACGAAAAAAGATGTACCTGGTTGGTGGTTTGGAACATGAATTTTATGACTTTCCATATTTCCATATATTGGGAATGTCATCATCCCAACTGACGAACTCCATCATTTTTCAGAGGGGTGGCTCAACCACCAACCAGTACTTATCTTCTTTTCAAGTTACATGCCATGCCATGATAATCTTGAAAAGGGGAAGGACATCCCTATGGATTGATCACCACACCCAGGTGTAGGGATTGATTTTTTTCGCCATGTTTGGTAGTCAGCCGTTGCAGTTCAAACTGGGGAAATTCCAGTTTTCGCTCAGAAATTTCCATACCCAAAATGCTTTGAACATTGGGATTCTGATATTATAATACTTGTATATATATTATGATATAATATGATTATGATATTATGTTGATTTTGAGTATGTATATAATTTATATAATTGTAAGTGTCAGGTTGACAGTTTTCCCCCAACCCCACACATCATGTGTTTTTCAGAGGCCTTAGTGCCAAAGCTGTGCACTGCCACGGCATGCCATTGATTTCAGGAGCAAAAGAAAGGTGCCCCAATCATTCTTTGCGTCTCCTTCTGCGCCCCCGCGTGCCTTGCTTGCGATTTGGATGTGTCCATGGGTTTGGTCCCAAAATTGGTCGGATCATTCCCAATGCGAACAGCTGCTTTAAATTACAAAGGTTTAAATACAAAGGAACATGAGGTGTCACAGTAAACGGGACGGAATGTGGTTTCCCATAATCGGGACCCTTGGAGAGACTCGATGTCAAGGTTTGGATTTTTGCCCGCGCGCATGATGACATTGGCAACACAATCAGAATAAAATCAGGAAGCCTGAATCATTCACCCTGCTGCTCTTTCACCTAATTTACTCTGAGAGTGGAGTAAAGTGATTATGGTGGAATACGTGGGTATGGTTTAAACTTTTATAAACAAATTGAATAAAAGCCATTTCTGCACCCGTTGGTACTCCGTTTTGCCATAGCTGTGGATGGCCTGATTTGCCAACCAACAAATGAGGTGCTGTTGCTTTTGGATTCCCTTGCTCTTCTTTTTGGGCGCAGCAAATGTGCTGCAGACCTGTGAGAACTACGAAAGGCAGTGCCACATGAGGGTGTCAGTTTTGACGTTTGGAGGGCACTTCATCTGAATATACGTACATGTACTGTATATATATATATATGCATATATGATATATATATAATTATATATACAATTATTTGTATGTATATATTTTTATAAATACATATATATATATATATTGCAGACTCAGCTGCACTGGCAACGGACTCCCTTTCCCAGGCTTCTAATGTTGAGGGGACCCCTGGTCCTACAATGTCAATGTGCCCTCCTGAGCACCCACCGAATCTTTTATGGCTGCCGCGCCGCACGAAATCTCGGAACCCAATGGGCCTACCTAAGCCCCCAGCTTGGTGGCCCGCCTGAGCCTCTGCCTTCTGAAAGATGCGGTCAAACGATGTGATTCCCACAGGGGACATTCAGAACCCTTCCAAGAGACAGTTACTCCAGAATGAATAATCCATGCACATCCATGCTACCACATGTCAGAGAAAACACACTCCTCAAAAATCTATGTATTTCAAGAAGTTTTGCAGAAGGCGTAAAACGTAAGGCATGTGGATCTGTCCTTCGAGCAGCTTGATGTTATAAAAAAACTGATTGTACATACTTCCAGCAGCTTGTCGTGTTGTTCAAGTGATTGAGTCACCTTCTCCTTTGAATTCTTTCCCTGTCTCTATTGCAAGATTCAAACTTTTCCCTGAAGACTTCGCCTCAGGTTCAAGTCTTTCTTACAAGCCAAGGTTCTGAGCAAAAACATGCATGGCAGTTTCAGGCGCACTGTTCTGATTGTACCATTGTTGTCGAACTCTTTTGTCTGCACGTTGCTTCAAAATCTCATCCGCATCATGGAGAATACATTTACCATACTTGAGGAACGTTCTCAACACCGTTGTGTCCATATCTTTTGTAAGTGAGTCCGCCATCTGTGCTGCGCTATGGACCCATTTAATGGCTACTCCTTCACGAAGACGATCCTTAATCACCAGGGCCTCAAGTAAAGTTCTGTATTCGGAACACTGTGGAATAGATGTTTGCTGAAGCAAATCATACAGGCTTTTGCAGTCCACAACAGCGTATGCGGTTGGTAGAGCTTTGAGAGTGGCTTCAGTCTCCTTCCAGGCTATTGCTGGGTTTAGCATCCATGCCCAATGCATTCTGGTCCAACTTAAAAGATCGAGTGCTCCGGACAAGGCATATGTCTCCGAGGCCAACGTACTAGAGACAACCCTGTTGATCTTTTTTGAGAACCAAACCAGTGGGCTTACTTTGGAGGACTTCTCTTGATCCACATCTTCAGTCGTGGCCAGAATGAGACAACCTTTTTGGGAGTTTGCTTTTTCACGTGTTGCAAATGCTGCATCTGAATATGACAAGAATCTCACCTTCTCAGGGTCTAAGGTTTGAACTCTTATACTTGTTTCAGAAAATCTTTTTGCATCATGGAGGAGGCGGTTCCCGGAAAGTAAATCATTCACTGTGGCGCATGTGATGCGAGCTTGCAACAAACTTAACCTACATGCTAAGTCAGGTCTGGTGTTCGTGGCGGCATACTGCAAGCTTCCTATTAACCCACGCAATTCCTGCAGTTCCTGTGTGGACACTGGGGATTCAGGGGTTTTTCTGCGGTCTTTGGGGACATTGATCGGGGGAATGTCCTGTACATACTCTTGTTGGCTGATGGTGATATCTCCTGATATTGCTTGGTTGACCTGGATGCCTGTGAAAGTGAACGAGCTTTGTCTCTGGCTTCCGAAAGGAAAACGCTTTTCTAGGAGAGATATGGTCTGATTAAAGGTAGTATCTCCCCCGCCGATGCCATCATCTACATGTATTCCAAGTACCCCATGAATTTTGCTCTCATTAGTTCGAGGATTTTTCTTGGGTAGAATGAAAAGGCATGGGTCGAAAGGTGACATGACGAAACCAAGGGACAATAGGGCACTTTTCAATTCGCAATACCACAAAAGTGGGGCATTCACCAGTCCGTAAGCGCCCTTCAGCAATTCACATACTTCATTATCTTGTAAGTTCATTTTGAGTCTAAGTTCCGATGGAGGTTCTACTCCCAAGATCCTAGAGTCTTGCCTGCTTCCGCGGAGAAATGCTGTTCGGATGTCAAAAGACCTGGCAGTCCACTTGTGGGATGCGATGCATTGCAATGCCAGCATCCGGCTGTCTCGCCCTAATGTCGGTGAATCTCTCGGCAAAGAGTCAATTTGCGGGTCTTCATATCCGAGGATAACCAGTCGGGCTTTTGCTTTTCGGGTTTGACCCGTTTCCTTTTGTTCAACTTCATCTAATGGTTTCCAAGAAAGAACCCAACGAGACCTGAGTAGCTGTCCTTCAGGGACCTTGTTTCTAAGTATCCTTCTCACTGTTTCGGTTGACAACCAGGATTCGAGTTCTTTTTCTTTGGCTTTGGAGAAAAGTTTTTGGTCTTCCGCATTGAGCTCACGAATTTTGACTTCTACCTTTTGACGTTTGGCGGCTGATGCAAGGAAGTTTTCTTGATAATCATAGGTCCTACCAAGGCACTTATGAAAATCGTCAATGGTCATTAGAATTTCTGCTTCCAAGCACTGAAGTTCCCCTGCAGGTTCACTTGAAATGAGATGATATGTGGGTTGTATTCCATCAACTTGAATGGGAAATTTTGTCTTTCCGGTCCAAGGTTCAGGCTGAGACAAATGGGCTGACACGTCTTTCTGCCATTCTTCAACCTTTTGGAACTGCCCGCCCGTGATATAGCTCCCTTCCGTATGCCTCTGGTTTTGGATTGCATCCAGTGGTACTGGGCACTTCCATGCGTCTGACGGGAAAAACATGCGGAGTCGGGGAGTCACATGATGTCTAACCAACCAACCTTCTTGGATTTCCCAAAAATCATGTTGTGACGTCACTGCAACTAGATCTTGATCGCTATCATCAGGTATCGGTGTGATCACGGCAGGATCCATTGGAACTTCATTTGTTTCCGTTGATGATAATTGGTCATTATTCGGGCATATGGGTTCGGCATCAGGCTGTCCTACTGATGATGGTGGATGTGATGGGTTTACCTCGGGAGGATTATTTGGGTTATGTGTTAAATGAGGTGGATTGGGATTTGCACTGGATGAGGCCTCGAC